TAAATCCAACATTATGATAGCCCCCTGCCTGCTGCGTTAAATAGTTCATTACTTGTGACGTGCCAACACCGACCTCTTTTAATGATGTTGCCTCATCGATGTCAGCCTTACTTACAGCTCTATTAGAACGCATAAATGGTGTCATACCATGTGTGCACAATGCATGATTATGTTTCTGATAACACTTACTTATAACCCAGTGATAGTTTGTATTTGTTGTTGTAACTATGCCTCTAGCCTTGCATCCTGTTCTTGTGATTGGCGTATGAGCACGTTGACGATCAACAATATTGACTTTTGATACTCGAAACTCTTCTTTGGAACAACAAAATTCTTGTGTCTTCACATTCCCTTCCACGTCAAGCCGTGTTATTCCCCTACGTGCACTAAACCCATGTTCCCTTGCGAATCCCTTGTAAAAGTATCAAGTTTGATCACGTGAAGAAAAAAGTTGACCAACCAATCTGTCAGATTCATCAACATTATGTACTTCATGGCATTCCTTGGTTGGCTTAACATTGTCTGCATCAGTATGATCCATGACAAAAATTTTGTTGTGCAAGTTCAGTAGTCCCGGAGTTGATGGAGATGTAAGTAAAGGTTCATTGAACAACATGTTTCAGTCATGCTTTCAATAAGATGTGGTATTGGTAGTGGTAGTTGAAGGGTGGGTACAACATTAAATTCGCAGGACATATTTAGGTATGTACAATAACTACCTAAATATGTGTCGATACATTTATAAAAAGTATCGATCCCAAAAATATCGAAACCCATAATTATAATGTAATAGGTAAATTTACAATGTAACCAATATAAATTTACCGGTTTTATGAGAAAATAGGTCTACATAATGTATCGACACTTGTGGAACTTGTGTCGATACTTGTTGTTCATAATGAATGCCCAAAATGGTGCACGCATAAAGTGTCGATACATTTATAAAAAGTATCGATCCCAAAAACATTGAAACTCATAATTATAATGTAATATGTAAATTTACAATGTAACCTGTAGAAATTTACATGTTTTATGAAAAAATAGGTCTACATAATGTATCGACACTTGTGGAACTTGTGTCGATACTTTTTCCAGAATGAATGTCAAACGGGGTGCACGCATAAAGTGTCGATACATTTATTAAAAGTATCCATCCCAAAAACATCGAAACCGATAATTACAATGTAATATGTAAATTTACAATGTACCCGATAGAAAGATACTGGTTTTATGATAAAATAGTTCTACATAATGTATCGACACTTTTTAAGTTTGTGCCGATACTTTTTTTCCAGAATGAATGCCCAACGAGGTGCATGCATAAAGTGTCGATACATTTAAAATTGTATTGATCCCAAAAATATCGAAACCGATAATTATAATGTAATAGATAAATTTGCAATGTTACCGGTATAAATAAACCGATTTAGTTAGAAAATAGGTCAATATAAGTGCTACCTAATATATTATTGTACTTAATAATATTTCTGGTTAAATGTCTATTTTATTATATAAGCGCTACCTATTACATTATATAAACGCTACCTAATATGTTATTGTACTTGATAATATTTCCGGTTAAATAATATAACATAACCAATCTAAATTTTAACCGGTTACTTGTTTAACCGGTCACGCCGTTTTTTAGGCGTCGCATAACATAAATTTCCAAATAAAGGTGTTAGTTGTTAAAGATGTTAATGTTACTGTGGAGGTGGGGGAGGGGGAAAGTATTTTTGATATATTATAGATTTTATTTTATTTAATAAAAATAAAGGAATATTTATTTTGGTACAGGAAAAAGGCACGGTGCGCCTTGGCTTCCTTCGAACCAAATTTTGTGAAATTATTATGGAAGGGGGAAAAGCTGATATTAATAATAAATTTTATGAAATTATTATGGAAGGGGGAAAACACTTTTTCCATCATTCACTTATTATTATTATTATTATTATTTTTCATTCCCATTTTTTTATCGGTATACATGAGGCCCAATCTGCAACAACCACCATCGGCCGGTGGCTCCTCCTCCTCCGCCAATAAGAGCCGTCCACGTCGACGAGCTGACCTAACCCTACCACTTCCCCAACGCGACCCAGCTCTCGCCGTCCCTCTCCTGTTTCCTCCATCCTCCAACTCCGCTCCACCTACCTCCAACTCCAACGCCGCTCCTCATCCTCAGCAGGTTAACTTCTTGGAGCTCGACCGTGTCAACCGGATAGGAAGAGGGACGGGGGGGGGCACCGTTTACAAAGTCATCCACCACCCAACGTCTCGCCCGTATGCCCTCAAAGTTATCTACGGCACGAGGAGTCCGTGCGCCGTCAGATCCGTAGGGAGATCGAGATCCTCCGTGATGTGGACCACCCCAACGTCGTGAAATGCCACAAAATGTACGATCACAACGGAGAAATCCAGGTCCTTTTGGAATTCATGGATGGCGGGTCTTTGGAAGGGATCCCCATATCTCACGAGTCTAGCTTATCAGATCTAGCCCGTCAAGTCCTCGGCGGTCTAAACTACCTTCACCGGCGACATAAAACCCTCGAATATGCTGATCAATTCGAAGAAGGTGGTCAAAATAGCCGATTTCGGGGTGAGTCGAATCTTGGATCAAACCATGGACCCGTGTAATTCATCTGTTGGTACCATAGCTTATATGAGCCCCGAGAGGATTAACACCGATTTGAACCATGGCCTCTACGATGGTTATGCTGGGGATATTTGGAGTTTAGGGGTTAGCATATTGGAATTTTATTTAGGGAGATTCCCTTTCGCGGTTGGTCGACAAGGGGATTGGGCCAGCCTTATGTGTGCGATTTGTATGTCTCAGCCACCGGAGGCGCCGCTCACTGCTTCGAATGAATTTAGGCATTTTATATCATGTTGTTTACATAGGGATCCAGCCAGGAGGTGGACAACGACTCGGTTGTTGCAGCATCCTTTTATAGTCAGAGGGCAACAACAACAACAACAACATCAGGTTGCTCAGAACCTTCATCAGTTATTACCACCCCCACCTCCCCTTCCTTCCTAGTTTCCCATCTCTTCCTATTTGTTTTGGATTTAGGGTAAAATATCTTCTGTAAGTTTTGATATAATGAGGGTCTGGGGGGAGTTGCGTGCAATGTCTTTCCTTTTTTTTCCTTTCATGTTTTTGTTAATCAATCTAGGTCTTTTGATAAAAAGATAAGCTTTGCAATATTAAGAAAAAAAATAACTTCTATTATTCTGATTTTGTTTGTTGCTTTATATATCTTCATCAGCTTGCTTTGGAGCCTCCTTTAATCATGTTATATTACTATTATCATTTCCAATTCAGTCATTGTAGATGGAATTAGAGAGATTCTAGATTTAGCCTTAGTAGAGAATTGTAATCAACAAAAAGGGGAATGGGTGTCTTATCTCTTTGTCTGTTATCTTATCCTGGAGGCTGGGTAAAAAGGGGAAGTTCCATATCTTGTTTTTGGAATTCTTGTGTTGTTCCATGGATTGGCTACCCTTTTTCTGTTGCAAAAATTGTGCAACAGTGGCCCTCCTCTACTGGTCTATTTTGTGAAGGCATGCTTATTAATTATATTTCTTATAATAGCCAGGGTTAACTGGGTGGATTTCTGATGTTTTTCTTGTTGATTATTTTTAGTCGTGTTCCGGTTATGGAAAGATACGCTACTGCTATTTTTCCACCTTTAGGTTGTCTTATTTCCGGTTCCTTTTTTGGTTGAAGAAAGATATGGCAGGGTTAGTCATTTTGTTATGGCTTTATTTATTTCTCTTCTTTAATCCATACAGCTGCAACAATGATGGATCATAGAGTTCTAAGATGCTTTTGTGTGACCGAGTCTGAATTATAACAATGCCACAAATAACGTGGTCTGTGTCTTTGATTTGGACTTTCGAGATGGTTAGTGTTATAACTTTTGATTTTTTGTTTGCCTAACGTGCTCCAAATCTGGAAAGTTTGTTTTGTTGTTGTCTTGTTGAGATTCTTTGAGGTTTGGACAGCCTGCCTTAAACTGTCTCTCTGGAATCCTCTGCTTAATGTACAAGTGTGCAATCCATTGACAGAGTATATTCCTTACACACAAATATGATTAGATTTTTTAAAGCTTCTTCATGATCATAATGATTCTTGGACGTACCAATGTAGATCGGGCTACAATGAGTTGGGCTGCCGTTTAGGAGATTGATATTTTGTACAAATCTTGTACTGCTTGCTCTTATCTAAGCCATCATAATACAGTAGTTAGATTGGTTCATTTCTATATATAGAATACACAAGCCTTTTTATCCAATTAATATTTGAGTTTATCATGTTTTCCTCTAAAATGATGTCTTGAATGGTTCGTCGGCCTTTTAATGTGACACTATCAGCAAAAGTATGAATGAAATCAATTATTAGCAAATACGTTTAAAAATTTATTAAAATTACTAAATTTCATCGTAAATGTTTATAACCATAATTTTTAACATGACATCATGTGTAGGGTGAAAATGCTAACCTACATGATACAAGATCTGCGCATTGGTTTTAGCCAATAATTTATGGGAAAAATGAAAATATAAACAAAAAAACCAGTCTAAGAATCATTGACCGTTGACTAAAATATACAGGAGATAAACCAATCGTCAACGCTTGGATTCTTGTGGGGCCCTTTAAAATCAACATAACGATAATTAACTGAAATTTTCCGTGCTCTATTTTTCTAAGTCCTTCAAGAAAGTTCCAATTGAATTTTCTCATTCCTCGAAGAAAAAAACTAAATAGAAATGCAGAGAGCCTTGGTTTTTCGCTTTCAATGCACTGCCATCTTGATGCTGTTTTGTGCACCTCCTTCTCTAGCAAAATCACTTCCTCAAGGAGGTCAGTATAGTTCTATTCATTTAAGTTTCCTCTTGTTCTGTTTGGTATCTCTGCTTTCTTTGAATTCTGGTTTTCGGCCTTTTTTTTGCCATTTTTTTGGAGGAACTAACTAGATGTAAGAAAGGCTTAGCGGGTCATTTTTGCTTCGAAATGCCTACTCTTAATGGGTGTTTTTGGGGCAGACCACTTTACTTGAACTTTGCGTTGAATGCGACGTATTTTCCAACAGAGGACTACTATGACTACATTGTCGTGGGAGGAGGAACCGCAGGTTGTCCATTAGCCGCCACCTTGTCGCAAACGTTTCGGGTTCTTGTTCTCGAAAGAGGAGGCGTTCCCTATGGTAACCAAAAATTGATGAATCAAGAAGGGTTCTTGACCGCACTAACTGAGGTCGACACCTACGACTGTCCTGCTCAGACCTTTACTTCCGAGGACGTCGTCCTAAATGCCCGAGGACAGGTTCTTGGCGGCAGCAGTGCCATCAATGCCAGTTTCTATAGCCGAGCTGATCCAGAGTTTTATGCGAGTTCGGGTGTAGATTGGGATCTCAGTTTGGTTAACCAATCTTATGATTGGGTTGAGAAGGGAGCTGTGTTTAGGCCCGAGTTAAAGAACTGGCAATCAGCTGTTAGGGATGCTCTGCTTGAGGCAGGGATCGATCCTTACCATGGGTTTAGTTTGGAACATTTGGTTGGAACAAAGATCGGTGGCTCCACTTTTGATAGCTCGGGCAAGAGGCACAGGGCTGCTGATTTTCTGAATTATGCAAAACCAGCTAATATTAAAGTAGCAATTTATGCAAGTGTGGAAAGGGTATTACTGGCTTCTTCTTCAAAAGTGATGTCTCGGCTGTCGGCGATCGGGGTTGTGTTTCGCGATGAAATGGGAAGGTATCACCACGCTATGGTGAAGGAGAAAGGTGAGGTGCTAGTATGTGCTGGAGCTATTGGAAGTCCACAATTATTGCCGCTGAGTGGAATTGGTCCTAGGCCTTACTTGTCTTCTTGAGGAATTCCGGTTGTATATCACCATCCAAACGAGGGTCAATTTGTATACGATAATCTGAGGAATGGCATCTCGATTTTGCCTCCGATACCATTAGAGTACTCACTTATACAAGTTGCCGGGATAACAGAAATGGGGGCTTATTTGGAGGCAGCTTCAAATGTAGTTCCTTTTACAACCCCTTCACGCTCAGTGTTTGTCAGACCACCTTCATCCCCTCTGCTTTTAACAGTGGCTACCATCATGGAGAAGATTGTCGGGCCTATCTCAACTGGTTCATTAAGGTTGGCCTCGACCAATATCAGGGTGAACCCTATAGTACGCTTTAACTACTTTAGCAATTCTAGACATGGAGAGATGTGTGAACGGTACACGCAAGATCGGAGATATCTTGAGGAGTCGATCCATGGATGATTTTAAGTTCACCGAATGGTTTGGGGGCAGAAATTTCAGGTTTGTAGGACCTTCATTGCCTGTTGACCAATCAAACTATGAAATGATGGCTAATTTTGCCAGCGTACCGTGAGCACCATATGGCATTACCATGGTGGGTGTGTTGTGGGGAGAGTGGTTGATCAAAATTATCATGTCACTGGAATTAATGCACTCAGAGTAGTCGACGGATCAACATTTACTATATCTCCGGGAACCAACCCTCAGGCAACTGTGATGATGCTTGGGAGGTCAGTGTTGATTGTGAACTCTGGTGGTTTCCCAGTAAAAACGGAACAACTAACCTAATAAGCATTACTTTGTGCTTGCAGGTACGTTGGCATGAGAATAACCAAAGAGAGCGATTGAAATGATAACTTTTGAGATGGAAGGCTTTAAGCCCGCCTGCTGCTGGTTTTCTATTCAGATACTTATGGCTAGTTGTTTTCAGTTTCAATTTTAGTTGGTGATGGATCAAAGGTTGTAGGAGACGATTACTGGTCTTTTTCGAGATGATGAACAAACTGTACATGAAGAAATAGTTCAGCAGTATAAATTGTGCTTGCCATTAAATACAAGTCTTTTTGCATCCAGGGTGTTTTATTTGCTAGTGATACGGATGAGTTCATCCATTGCTCCACTAAGTTGGCAGGTGGCATTTGGAAAGATCAAATGGACCGACCATGCAGGCATCAACCCAAAGAAATGTAGTGCCATATACTAATTCAACAGCATAATTAATTTTAAAAAAAATGATACGTTATGAATAGAGTATAGAGATCCATAGTCATTGCTAATATGTGTTGGCTATCAAATATACAAGAGTAAAAGAAAAGGCAACCTAGGAACTCCCATGCGATCTCACGGATGAAATTGATTGTGCTGAAACAGAGGCGGTGGGGCTGTTCAGATCCCGATCTGCTTTCGGTTTTCCGCTTAATCTTTCTATTGCATCTTGACATATGTCATTGAACCAATCATCATCAGGCAGCACGCTGACAGAAAAAAAACACAAATGCTTCAATGGCAACTCGTGAGAATTTCTTATAAATACATCCAACAATTTTTCAATGGCCAACACCGATCTTCCTGTATAATCCAACGCTAAACAAAAAAGGTAGTCAACAAAAACCAAACATTTCTCCATCTGAAAACACTTATAACCCAGATCCAACTCATTAAAGCTCACTATCACTCTTTCTCTCTATAAATCAGAAGTTATAAGGCCAGTTATATCAATTACACCATCTCCCTCCTAGGAAAATTCTTGGTGCAATAGTGTTAAAGGCATAATGCAGATATTGGTGCAAACCTATTGTGATAAGAAACTTAGTACTACAATTCCCATTCTTTCTCACATCTGTGATAACTTCCCCCACAGAAAAAATGCTCTAAATTAAGCAATCCATGCATTATGGAATTGGTTGTACCAATAGTATACATCCATTTAGAATAAACAGGCATAGCTGGGGGACTAATAATAATAATAAGCATAAGTGCATACCTATATGGATCCATCCCTGTAGCAGCAAATGCAGCCATGGCTTTAGCAATTATTTCATTGACAACTCTATGAAGATTTCTTGATAGGTATCGACCTTGGGAAGCAAAGCATATGACAAATTTTATATCCAGATAAAGCTGCACATTTACAAGAACTAGGTCAATTTTAAGAATCCTATACAAATTTAGAAACAGAAAAAGAATGATACTAAGTTTGCATGCCTGTTGTAAACCTAATGGACCTAAAGCCCTCGGTCCTTCCTCAATATCATCCCAGAAGCTTTGATCTTCTGAAAGCCATATGATAACAGTTTCTGTAAGTCGCATCAATAGTAATGTGGCAAATCTTTCCCTTCCTACAAACATATCTGCTGCCAGGCTAGTCATCCTGTTTAGTTTTGCAAAAAGTTCCTGCATCATGACAAGATTTGATGAATAGGCAATGAGTGAGCAAAGCAAGGACTCTAAGCATCCATGTCTTAATAATTAACTCATAGCTTTGTTATAAAAGAGAACCAGATGAAATGATACTAAAATATTAGAAAAAAAAGGAAAAGAATGAATTACCTGAAATATTGGAGATGGAAACCATTCCACCTCATCTGCCGAACCATCCGTATTAATGTACATTTCAGCAGTAAGATGGCTATCGCCTTCTTCTGTGAAAATGAGATCTAGGGCATGCTGTTGACAAAATGTATTCTTTAGTCTCTCAACTGAACTCAGAAGGCGCCTCTTCCATTCCCGTTGCTCAGGATGACGGTTTTGCCTATCTGAAGTTCTTTTACGGTGGTCTTCCTTGTAGCTAGCCTGACTCGGGGACAGCTTCATGGCTGCACGTGGAAGAAGTTCATCTGCCAACAGTGATGCATTTGCTAGCAATGCAATTTGTTGGGCCTCAGTCTCAGCCATTCGCACAATTTTATTTCCAGTACCCCCAAAGTCTGTTTCTTCATCAATTGAACCAGGTAATGCTTTTATGAGCATGTTCACATATGAGTCAAACACCTGATACAAACCTTCCAGTGTTTTCCCTCCCAACTGCATGCTTAATAATGGTCCGACATCCTCAAAGAAGTCCTATAAGAGCAAGTGGAATATACATCGAATGAGTGGGAGTACCATTACATCAGAAAAATGAACTAAGAGAGATGCAGGATCTTCAGTACCCCAACAACTAGGTCACATGTTAATGTTATCATAAGAGAAGTCATGCATCCACAAAGGATCTAACAAATAAAAACATAAAAGTATGGCCAAAATGATAATTGACCAAAATCATGATTATTAAAGAAATATCATATCAAAGAAAATGCAGTTAAACAAAGTTATTTCAGCAATTAAACATACTGAGGTTGAGAATACTTGATTAGCATTTAGTAACTAAAACAAAAAACAGGTAAGCAGTTAGTAAAAGAACAACTTTTAAGAAAATTTACTGTACCCATCCATGACTAATCTACACCGCATAAATGGATAACAAGATAGATGAGTCAGATAAGCATGTGCAAGTGTGTGTGTGTGTGTATAAACATGACAAGGACAAGATATATTCAAAATAAATGAAATGACGAGCAAAAATTAATTAATTAAATAAACTGTTCACCTGGACCATAGAATTGAATCGATGAGCACTACTTGTTAATTTATGTTGAAATGCTGTTGTATTACTATGGGATGCACTAGTGGGCCAGCCAGATTGACGAGTATTGCCCGGGGGATATGTTAGCACCCAATCATCAGCTGCAGCCAAAGCGGCAGTGCTTTCTTCAATTCTTTTGAGATTAGCATTGAGTGCCTGCTCAACACTAGGTCTAAAGAGTTTCAAGAGTACAGGACAAAGTGCCAAGCCACGAGCTTCCAGCAATGTGCAATGACCCAAAGCTATCTGAACACATTCTGCAGCAGCCCTAAGACCACCAGCAGCTGCTGAAGAAGCCAACGCATGTCTTTTAACTAGAAGCGCAAAAGATTCTGTTTGCTTTGTAGCCCAGATTACAAGCTCCGAAGTATAAGCTGGTTCTTTACCAAAGATTCCCAAGGAATCACTGGCAGCTTGAGCAATAGCAGAGAATACCAACTGTGAGAGGGCAGCAGTATATGCTCCTCCATATGAGGTGCTTGATGGACGAAGGCTAAGCATGTTATATTGATATCTTTGGAAATGAGCATTAAGAAGCAAACTATGTGCACGTGGACTATCACCAAGCCTTTTAAGAGCTAATATTGCTGCGCGAAGTTCAGCGCCATGTGTAGAAGGTTGACAAGAAGCCTCGGCAAGCTGGTCAGCCAACTTTTGCTTGCGCTCTGTAATAGCAGTCTGCAGATATGAAAGTGCTGCAGGACTCAATGAACTTGTTTTCTTTGCTTCAGCAACAGCCTGCTCTCCTTCATCAAGGGCTGCTAGAGCTTCATCTACTCTCTTCTCAGCTAACAGAACATCAAGGTGATCAGGGAATTCTGCTGACCATTTCTCCAGATCTGAAGGTTCTTTATCTTCAATATTTAACAATCCATTAGCATTAGGGCCTTCAGAAACTTTGGGAGACAATGAATCTATATTAACTCCCTCGGCCAAAGTATGAATTAATGTTGCTTGTGTTGACAGAAGATTTCTTATAGATGAAAGCTCTCCTTCTAAATCAGATATCTCCTTAGATGTGCTACAAGGAAAAAAAAATATCTTAAGAGTTTCACACCTGTACTGGTTCTACGAACTAACCACATTACCTGTCTTTATTTAACTAATATTAAAAATGGCTGTCCCTTGTTCCCATATATAATGGGGTAAGGGGTTTATTTAACTAATATTGAAAACATATATCTAATTCAACATTAATTCTTCAAGAAAAAAAAGTTATAGAATCAACAAAATTCAAACATTGTTTCAGTATCTCTTTCAAGTAACCTCGATAAAATCACTGGCAACCTCTGCAACTATACAATGCAGGCTTTTAAACAAAACTAAAGTGCATAAATTCACGTGTCTATACGGTAAACAAATTTCAGCTAGAGAGAAAGTCATACGAATGAATGCAATCCTGAAAATATTTAACCAACAGATATCAAAACAATATACGAAACTGCGAGAAGAAAGAGTCAGAAAAAGCTTTCTTCTTGTTCTTGACATACTGAACAAAGCTAAAAAAGCTTCAAACTTGATTTAGAATTTATAACTTTTGTGGCCACAGGCTATGTAAATTCTTTTAGAAATAGATCAATTACACATTGAAATACAAATTACTGGTGCGAAAGGGCATTTTTCTTCTTAACAAGATGAACTGAAGTGGATCTCAATTGACATGCAATAAGCAAAAATCAAATGAAATTGGGTGAACTATGCAAGTGCTGCAACAAACTCCTTAAAGGGTATGACCGAAGGTAAAAGATTGAGGTAAGGACAAGTAAAATGCGAGGCGTTACCGTATAAATGCGGAATAATTAGCATAAACGCTTTTACGCATTTCTTCAGCAGATGCTCTCTTCAAATCCAACAGATAGGAACATAATTGCCTTATCTCCTGGTAATGTAATCATATTATTTTTTTCCTATCATCAAAGTTTGAAACAAAATCTTATTAACTAAAAAAAGAAAACAAAAATAATAACAAACCTTGTCGTTGAGGGAACACTTGGACTGAACATAAGCATCGGCGTCAAACTTATCGGATTTGAAAACGGTGAGGCCTTCCTCGATCTTCGTGCCGTTTTCTTTCGCAGCAGTCGATGGTCGAGTGGACCGTCCTGTTTTCGCATTAGCCATTTCCGTTTGCCTGCAGTTGAAATCAGATCGAAGCTGAAGCTCAGTGCAAATATTGTTGGGAAATGTTTGGAAAAAAAAGTGGGGGGAGGTGGATTTAAAGGGCAGTTTGGGGAATTTTAGAGGATTCCAGCCATTGGAACACAACACAGTTTGTGACTTAGGCGGAA